GTGCAGGGCGTGTTGTCATCATGTCCGGAACTTGAGTCTCTAACATTGGAGTATTGCTGTCTTCCTTCTAAGCTGTTCATTGGCGGAGGGAAACAACTGAAGTTGAAATCATTAATCATTTATAGGTGCCATGGGGGGGTCAATGAGATATCTTTATGTGCTGAAAACCTTGTAATCTTGGAAGTTCAGTTATGGATAGATTCAACAATGAAGTTTCCTCACCCTACCAATGCTCCCAAGCTCCAGCATGTCAACATCACGGTAATGCGCTCCGATGATATGTGTGACATCATTAGATGGGTAGGAAAGGATTGTCCTCAGGTTGAATCTCTTTATCTTGATTTGTCGTTTGGAAACCGCGCTTGTGCATATAGTTTGCCACGCGAGGTGCCCACATTTGGTCACATGAGGCAGCTTTACATACTAATGGAGTTCAATGAGTTGTTTGATGTGACTCAAGTTGCTGCTTTAATCACGGGCTGTCCACTGCTTCAGAGATTGCATTTAGTGGTGAGTCCCCTTCCATAATGAAGAGAAGTGGGTATTCTTTCTTAATTAATATTTTGCTTGGATTGAGGTGAACCTGGGTAATATTATTTTATTCACCTTTATTGGGAACTTCATACATAGTATTTGATATTATTAAAACAAGCTGGATCCATTTTGGCAGAACAAGACTTCTCTCTTCCTCTCTGTAAGCACAAACCTTTGCAGAAGAGTACATTTGCTAACGTTAAGCTATATCCAAACCTTGGGTATTTCAGTGTTTGTTCCCAGGAATATAGGAGAAGTCGTTCTGTATTTTCCTGTGTTTGGCAGACTAGTACAACATTCTCGAAAATGACTTCCATCTTTTGAAAAAGCGGGAGTCATTTTTTTATGAAGCAATTCATCTTTTTTCCTTTTATTTTCTTTTTTTTGTGGGTTGGGCGCTGTTATATTATTTTTATACATACAAGCAAGAGAACATCTGGATCGTTTACCAGGAAACAATCAGTTTGTTTTTAGTTCTCCAGCAAACAAATACAAATACTGCTGTGTAATGATGATGAGTTTCCATGTTTACAGGGAAGGGGGAGAAAACCATGCTATCTTCGTATTGGAGAGAGAGCATCTCTCGGAAATCATCATCTTCATCTTCATCTTAAAGAAGTAGAATTTGGTGGGTTCCTTGGTTTGGAGAATGAGGTTGCTTTGGTATTGTATATCCTGAAAAATGCTTTGGCTCTTGAGAGGATGGTGTTATGCAGGGATTATAGGTGGTATACTGGTGCTAGTAAAGGAGGAAGATGGGAGGAGAGAAAAGATTACAAAGGGCCTACATGGTTGAAAAATCCACCATATACTGTAACATTTGATGAAAGCAAATTACAAACAATCCATCAGCAACTGAGAGGGCAGGCTGCTTCTCCAACGGCACAAGTGATCGTCATTTAGGATGTGGTCTTAAGTGCTCCATCCATTTTTCGCTTCTAACTTGCTCAGTTTTTTTTTGGGAAAATCATTGTTTTTTGGGAAAATCATTGTTTTTTGGGAAAACTGTCAAATAGGTCCTCGAACTTTCATAAAAAAGTCAATTAAGTCCTTCTACAGGAGACACTGTCCGGGCGCCGCGATTTGGGGCAGTTCCCGGTGGAATTTTTTGATGAAAATTTTTGAGCATCTTATTCATCAAGTCTAGTTTACTCATACCAAATTTCAGCTAAAAATGTAATCGAGAGCGCATTCAAATTAATTCGAGAATGCAAAAATGCGCAGTTATCTTCAAGAATTAATTTGAATGTGTTCCCGATTGAATTTTTAACTGAAATTTGGTATGAGTAAACTAGACTTGGTGAATAAGATGCTCAAAAAATTTCATCCCGGGAACTTCCCCAAATCGTGACGGCCGGACAGAACCTCATATAGAAGGACTTAATTGACCTTTTTATGAAAGTTCGAGGACCTATTTGACAGTTTTCCCTTGTTTTTTTATAATGTCTGATTCTCTCCTTTTGTTTGGCGGAAAGAGAGATTTATTATACGTAGTTTATAAATAAAGGAGACTACAAAGCTAAAGAGATAATCACAATTCACAAATGAGAGAAAAGATAATGAAAAGGCAAAAAAAGTTTTGAAATTTTCTTAGTCTTGTAAATATTCTTAGCCAGCCTCGCACGAATCTTAAAGCGATTCCTTGATAGCCAGCCTATCAAAAATCGCATAATTTCTATTTCGTCATCCGAAATAGAACTAAAACTTGACTAAAAATCACAAATATGATTAAAGCCCTAAATCATTGATTTCTACTCTAAGTACCTCTAAGTGTATTAATTTATAGAGTTCTTTTACATTTATATTACTAGGAATTAGATGGACAAAAAAGTGACCAATGGTATATTAGGGAAGCAAAAAAAAAACAGATATCATTAAAGAATGGAATGAAAGTATACAAAAGCCCCAAGACGGTTGCCCTTTATACCGTAGAGAGGATCAATAACCACTAAATACGTGTACAAACCAAAATGTTAAAAGTATCATTTTTTACTATTTCGATCATTATCCCCTTTACTTGGAGCTCATAATGTTTGGGCCGAGATGATGCATGAAGTACATACCTTTCAATAGCTTATTATACTCAACCTTGACTTACTTTCATACCATCTCATAGTTAGGGTTGGACCGGGCCCAGGCCGGGACGGGATACGGGTGGGATTGGGTTTTTGGGTTGCACGCCCAGTACCGGCCTGAGTTGGTACAGGGGCCGGGCCTTGTGAGGATTTCGTCAAGTAACAAAACTCTCTACAGTATAAGGAGTTGTTCTCTTTGTTTCTTCTAAACTTATTATGACCATGCATGATGTCATATCAATGTCTCATGCCAGATAATGTCAAATGTATTTTGGGATAAGACTTGATTTAAGGTATGTTATGCACCTACACATTTTCACGTTATACTCTTTCCCTACCATCTTTTATATAAACATCTCTCAAATATTATAAGCATGAATGGAGGTAAGGGTATTTTAGTTATGGAAAATGTGTTGGTGGTACATAATAGCTTTAGAGATATATACCCAATGCTTAGATAATTGTACTGCCTTTCCTCCGTAATAAACGATGTCTGTCATCCTTCCATTAGCGCACCGTCTATCTCCCATACATCTCATCGCAATTGACGCAGATTGGTTATCAGGCACTAAGAACTCACTTCGTATGGTTCAGATGCAAGCCTATCTCCCTGTAACATTCCTCAACGGTGCGTTATAATGCTATGGTTGTAGATCGCAACCCCCGTCTTTTACATCTCTCGTATAGCTTGAGTTTCCGGCGCAAGTGTTGCGTTCACAACCGAATAACATGCATACTGATATTCTGAAATAAAACTCCTGCCGATCAGATCTATCTGTACAAGTCATTATCCAGCACTCCAACAGTGTAAGACACCTTTGACTAAAGTTGCAGCCTCTGATTGTAAGGAAAATAATATTTGAAGTCTTCACTTACCTCCTGGCTTGGTTAGATCTCCATAGAATGACATGTGTAGAGCACAGGCATCAAAATGGTTAGATCTCCAATTTTGATTTTACTCATGAAAGTTTGTTCATTGTTCCCGGAGGGGTAGGGAAGGGAGTCGTTGTGGGCTTGTGGCTGTAAATATAATTTCCGAACTCTCTTGGTATATCAATCTGATCGGATGTATTCAGAATCAATGATAGAAATTGTAGGAGAATTGAATTGGGGCTGAAATATTTGATTATACTGAATTACATTTGAAAAGAGGGTACTACACATGGGCATGTTTATGTTTAATGTTTTTGTTAACAAACAATTATATCAAGAGTTAAAGACTTAGTACCCATGCTGGCATGTTTAAGTTCAGATGACAAAAATCTTTACTCATGGTATCTATTGTTTAAAACTTTTATGATCGATAAAAATAGTTCTTGAGCTCAAGTCAAAAGTTTTTGAGATATACTGTATGAAGTTGTTGAGATGCAATTTAAATATTCGGTATGTGTTTTTGTTCGTTAGTTCTTTTACTAATTTATATTAACATCTCCATTCAATATATGACCAATTATATCACTTCTTTTAGAAAATACTTACATGTTAGATTAACCCACATACAATTGGAGCAACTCCAATTGAGCTTCCTGGAAGCTCAATTAAACAATTTTTGCAAAATGGGATTTATAAAGTTAGCTAAAGTTAAATTTGGTTGAATAAAGTTTTAAAAGAGAGTACTCCACATAGGTCAACATTTATATTTGAATGTTTTGTTAACTAACAGTTAGATTGAGGTTTAAAGAGTCAATATCAGCTTTATTTGTGGAACATCTTATGGGAAAAACGAACTGCATTTTTGGAAAAATAATGTTTGTAACCTAATTACATAGTGTCCCAAGTAATTATAATGGATGTCCTTATAATAATTACAGTATGGAGTCAGGAATATACCTAATTACATAGTGTCCCAAGCATTTTTGCTATGTTTGTTTTTATCAGATAAAATCATACTCAAATCCACCGATCAAGCTATCCCACACGTGGCTCAATCAAATATCAAATTAACAACATAAATATTTGAATGCTTTAACCTAATGAACTTCAAAGAATTAAAGTTAGACAATTTTGTCTCAAATACTTTTGATATTATGGTTATTATAATCATATTGGTTACTTTATTTCCCCACATACAATCGGGGCTACTAATATTTTATTCATTAAGTTTCTTTATCAATTTCTAACGAACAATGTATACAAATTATTTACTCATAATACTCGCATATTCACTGGACCAACCTAACCATGACAATTAATTAATATGCCTACAACGGTCTTGGGCATTTACACGAACGCGCATCGCGCGTGCCTAAACTAGTATACATAACAAAAACGTAAAAAATACATAAACATATTTTATTAAAACTGGTGGTTAATTTGAAATATGTGAGACTTTGTAAGACAATTAAAACAAAATAATGTATCATATCTTAAGATATATTATAGTAGGATATTTAATTTTCGAAAATCATTCTTCTACTACATGTGTGTGGATAAATAGTGGGAAATGATTTTTTATTTGTTTTTGCATCCCATATTTCAAAGGGAACTAAAATGATTGATATTATTAAATTTGTTTGCATATTTAATTATATTACTCTTTAAGTATACAAATACACACACACATATATGCGATTAAATTTATCTCACGTCAAAGTTAATTCATTAGACTTGATCAAATTTATTTCTCCCATATATTAAATTTATCACACACACAATGTCATCCTACTACTATATCATTGCACTCTATCTACATGCATATAAACGTGATCTTATCTATCATTTGAAGATGTTGCAATTGAAAATAACTTTCAGTTTGTGACTAAAACTTCAAGAAAAAAGGCTTGGATGTCATTTGTGTTGATGAAAAATGTTTTTGGGCCGTGCGTGGTGTTCGCTTTCCTAATGTGCAATTCTTTCAAATACACAGGTTCTATTTCCACTTTAACATATATTTTATTTTTATTTATTAATAGTTTAATTTCCAGTTACATTATCTTTAATTTTAACCTTTTGTTTTATTGCAGATTTGATTCATATCATTCTTGTTTAGTGGACTTTAGAGAAGGTGATCACAGGCAGGCAACATCTGACATTGTTGCAGGCATTGAAACTCATCGGTATTCAAATGCTTCAAAGAAACCTTATTTGCCCAATGATTTAATTGAAGACATGCGTAGAAAATACGGTATATCTATGTCGTACCGTAAAGCATTGGCAGTGAAACGACATTCAATGAAACTTCTGTTTGGGTTTGATGAAGAGTCATATCAGTTACTACCATCCATGTGCCATGTTCTTGAAATTGCTAATCTAGAACCTTTGATAAACCTTGTTCGTCATGGTGATTCCGTTTTCAAGTATTTGTTCCTATCATTGTCTGCATGGTGCCAAGCTAGGGATCATTGTATTTCAGTGCTTATAGTTGATGAGACCTTTATGAAGTCCTATTTTAAGGGGGCTTTGCCGACTGTCTGTACCAGAGATGCCAATCGTCGGCTTGTTTCACTTGCTTTGGGATATGTGATTCTGAAAATAAGGATTCCTAGAATTGTTTTTTTCTCAGTTGAAGTTAGCTCTTTCTTACTGACACAATTTATATATCGTTTCTGATAGAAATTCTGGTATTATTAAAACTGTTGTAGATGTGTTTCCTACAGCTTGCCATGGGCATTATGTTCATCATTTACTTGGTAATATTTGTTCGAAGTTTAAGGGTTCAAGTGAGGGTAAAGAGTGGAAATTTAACGCTGCAACAAGAACTTCTATTTACAAGAAGGATCTTCAATATATGGCTATGCTAGATTTGGAGGATCCTCAGATAAGAGTATATTTGGATGAGGTTGGAAGTGATAAATGGGCAAGGTGCATGAGTGGTCCATTCCGATATAATATCATGACTTCTAACTGGGCCGAGTCGATGAACAATGTTAATAATTGTGCCCAAGAGTATCCAGTAGAGAAATTGATTGATTTTATTCGTGACCGAATGCAAAAACGGTTTAAAGAGCATCGTGATTCAGTACATTCAACTACAATTATTATGCCTAAAGAGCGCGAACACGAGCTTATAGTTCTGCAACGTGAAACATTTCATATATATGCTTATAGTTATGCAGGTATGACATTGTGTTTCTTATTATTTGACATTGTTTCTTTATGTTTTTGCCATTGTGTTTTTGAATGTTTGACATTGTTTTGTAATAAATCAATTACATTGGATTTTTTTTAATTATATTTGGTCTTTCTTGTTGCAGTTGAAGCCTTCTTGTACTTACGAATTCCAGGTTGTTGATAGGCAATGTCAATCTTTTGTTGTTGATTTGAAGAAGAAAATTTGAACATGTTATGCATTCCAATTGGATCAATGTGTCTGTGTTCATGTTGTTGCTGCGATTTCCAAAACACCAAATGCGTATGTTAGGATTTCATCTCGCAATTTTATAAACGTGACGCTTTGTGTTCTACTTACAGTGGGATTGTGCATCCTATTTTTGATGTTACCGAATGGAATGTGCCTATTGATGTTCAAAGTATGATTTGCAAACCACCTACGTGAAAAAGAGGCCAGCTAGAAGGCCAAAGAAGAATATGATACCATCTGCTGGAGAGTTTCCTACATGTAAAAGATAAAAAAATAGAGATCTTAACGTTGTACTGGTGTTGGGCATAATCAGAAGACTTGTAAAAATCCACTTTCCCGTGTTTAATATTCTATGGGTTTTAGATAACAAAAAAATGGCTTGAGTTTGAAACTTTAGTTTTAGGAGATTTCCCAAAATAGGAGTAAATGGAGTTTGAGATTCCAAAATAGGACTACTATGTTTTTATTCTCGAAATATGACTAAAATGACAGTATGTACTATCATCTTGTAAACGTGACTGCCAAATAATTACAGTACAGTGCATTTAACATGACAATATTAAATATAATTAATATAATTAATGACAATATTTTTAAACCATGACAGTATGTTTTCATACATGACAATAGCAACTTCTATTTTGGGAAGAAAAATATAGTAGTCCTAGTTTGGAATTCCAAACATAATTTACTTCTATTTAGGACAATTTCCCTTAGTTTTACCATTACATTTTTACAACTGATGATTACTATTGTTGTATATGACATTGATATATTTACAATGACTAATTTAAATGTCAATCCTTAAATTCACATTGACTTCACTACAATCTTTGTTTGGAAAACATTTATATTTTTAACGTTTGCAATGACAATACAATTTTAGATATGTCAGTTATGTCAGTTATATTTTTAACATTTACAATGACAATACAATTTTATAATGATATGTCAGTTATGTGATGACATATATAGTCATTTTAATGACATTTTAAATGAAATTAATAATTCAGAATAAAATGTCATGTGATGACATTTTGATTGACATAACCTTGCTATTTTCATTGTCAAATATATTTTCTTGACATTCGGAATATGTGAGATGTCCCAATGTCGTGAATAAGTCTCAGTTGAATGTCATTCCAATGGCTTTGTCATAACATTGCAATCATTTTAAACAGGATTAATAACTCAGAATAGAATCTCATGTACATGATGACATTTTTATTGACGTAACATTGCTATTTTCATCGTCAAATATAATGTATTGACATTTGGAATATGTCAGATGTCCCAATGGCGTGAATAAGTCATAGTTGAATGTCATTTCAATGGCATTGTCATAACATTGCAATATCATACCAATGAAAATTAAATTAAAAATTCAGAAATGAATTTAACTCGACGTTGACATTGGCATACTATTGCTACATGCATTTTGTAGTGACATAACATATTGCTAATGCTATTTACACAACAATGTCATTACTAATATAAACTTAAAAGTAATAAGCAAGTGCAATAAATCGTTCAATGGAAACAAGTACTAGTTGTTTCACCAAGTTAGTAACAAATGATTGTTTCAGAATAAAATATCATATAAAAGTCTTCAGTCCTTCGGTCCTATCCGCATACAAACCCATGTTTTAGTCATATTATAGTCTTTTTCCCAAAAAATAATATTCCCTCCATCCCATTATTATTGTTCCAGTTTCTATTCACTTGGTCAATAAAAATCCCTATTAATCTCTTACTTTATATATCAAAATTTTATTAAATTTGATTCTGATTTTTGCGACTTTGTAAAGTTTTTAATGTAATTTATGAATATGTATTTTTTTTTCTAAAAATAATTTGAATGCGAACAAGGATTGAATTGCTTTATCGTTGGTCAAATATCCCAAACCGCAACAGCTTTATGTAGTGAGGTAGTAATGTTTTTGTACATCGTGTAAAACATAGTGTAAGTGAGTTTATTTTTGTTGTTTTTCGTATGTTTTCTACCGAACTAGTTAAACATGTACTTGTGCATTAACTGTTTTCAGTTTTCTGATCTCATATCCCTAAACTGTTTTTGACACATAAAAAACCTCTTTAATCCTCGTCCCCTCTATTTGACACTTCGATAGCTGTCGGAATAGCTCCCTAAATAAGATCTGCTCGGCTTAAATCTGCACTCACTATCCCCACCGCCATTGGATGTTAGATTCGTCCGATACGGTCTAACTCAGAGAAGGTAAAGTAAAATGTTATTTACTTATTTTGCAACCAATAATCTCTTGTCCGCCCCTTTCTCCGTTTATAATTACTGATTTAGCTTCAACTGATGTTTAACAGTTTTTTGCTGCCTGAAAGGATTAAGCAACTTTAGAGGTGTTTTTCTTGTTTACGTATTGGAAAAACAAAAACAAGATGAGGGATTTCCGATGTTATTTCATTACATATAACTTGAATTGGCATATTGTGCTTTTGATCATTGTTATTTATGATTTCAATAGTACACTGAACTAAAAATAATTTATGGGTTTTCAATGAAAATCAGAGTGTTTTAACATCTTTTAAGGATTTCACTCTCCATTTATGTTCTGAAAAAACATAACATCTTTTATATTTATTTTTTGAAGATTTTACAATTATTCATATAAGGGTGTGGATATATGTGTGTGCATCGTTTAGAGTATTGTTCTCAAATGTTTGTGCTTTTGGTTTGTTTGGTAAGACTATCCACTTTGCTTCGCTGTCATAATTTTTTGAAGACTCAGAGTTTTTGTTACTGTCCTTCTTGAACCTTCTTTTTTATCATGGTATTTTGTTCCTTAATTATTTCACGCACAGATATGCATCATCAATTATACAGATGTTTATATCTGTGTATATGTGATATAGACACACACACACACATGTATATATGTGGTACTTGTACTGTTGTACATGCCTTATTTGTGAATTCTTATTAATTTATATGTATTTATAAATTCCCTAAACTAAAGTTAGATGTTGAATTCAAAATCAGCAAAATTGGTAATCAGCAAATTTACATCAACAACCTTGAGGCTCATAAGAAAAAGCTCAAAGGTATTTTGTCCATGACAAAGGACGTACACACACAATTGGTAAATTTCATAGTTTTATTTTTAATTCTAAGGGTTCTCCGGTGGTGCTCATTTGGAATAACTTTTCTACTATTTATAGGGAATTTCATGGTATGTTTGTGCCTTTTGCATTTATGGTGATGTAATATCATAGCCCAGCACATGCTCAAGAAGTAGCTGCGTGATACCATACAAAGTGTTCTTTTTTACATTACTATTCATATTCTTTGTGGAACTTTTTCTCTACTATAAGTTGATAAGGTGTCTTTTATTCCAATCGAGCTCTTTAGGCGGGAACACTTTAGCAAATTTCTTTTTCTTTCATATGTTTATAGATTCGGCAAAAACTTTGGCAGAAACTGTACCAAATTCCTTTTTCTTTTATATATTTATAGATACATTCAAGTAATTAAGAGGGGTGGGTTATTTAATAGTATCTTGTTGCAAATATGTGATATTTGTTCAAAGCAGCTGTTGCAATAGTGTTCTAATTAAATTTTATGTCGTTTCATGTTAGCCGACCCCAAACTCTTTTGGGAATAAGGCTTGTATGTTGTTGTTTCTTGTTGTTATTCTCTAACTGTTAGTAACATAACACTTTTAAGACACATTATTTTTATTGGGCTGCTTTAGAGCACAACTAGATTAAGATTAAACCTTAATGATTGCTGCTGTTACTTATTTAAGTTTTTAAATTTGAATATCATTAGTGCACTAACACAGTTCTTTCTGTTACGGCTGAAAAAATGTAGGAACATTATCTTGAATACATGGGGACTGAAAACCCCAATCGTCCCAATTTTCCATTAAGACATGCTTCCACACCTTTTTCAGCTCCACCGAGTTCCATACCTTTTCAAGCATCTAGTATTCAGCCTCCCCCACCCCCGCCATACTCACCTGTCCCTGTAGATGGCTCCGAATCTTCTGGCTTCAGACCTATGTCACCAGGGGTTCCTAGCAGTCCATCACAGCGACCTCCATTTTCAGCATTGTATGGCCCATCAGCTACAACCTCTTTCCAGCGTTATCCAACTCCACAGTTTTCTTCAACTCCTCAGTTTCCTCCTTCTCATACTTCATTTGTTGGTCAGCCATCTTTCCAATCACCACCTCTGTCCAACGTGGGTCCCTCACAGAGCATGAGCACTTTACAGCCGAGTGCTCCTATGAATA